TACTGTGTATATACTCAAAGGAAAATAAATCATTCCACCAAAAAGACACATGCACCTATATGTTCAATGCAGGGCTATTCACAAGAGCAAAGACATATGGACACCTGGGAATCAACCCAATTGCCCATCAATGATATACTGGATAAAGATAATATGGTATACATACACTATGGAATACTATACAGCCATAAAAAAAGAACAAAGTCATGTCCTTTGCAGCAACATGGATACCACTGGAAATCATTATCCTAAGCAAAGTAATATAGAAACAGAAAACCAAATACTGTGTTTCTCACTTATATGTGGGAGCTAAACATTGGGTATACATGGATATAAAAGATAGAAACAAACAGACAATGGGGGGAATATAAGAGAGGAGGAGAGAGGGGAGCAAGGGTTGAAAAATTATCTATTGGGTACTATGCTTGCTATCTGGGTGATGGATTCATTTGTACTCCAAATATCAGCATCAAGCAATATATCTCTGTAACAAACCTGCTCATGTATCCCTCAATTCTAAAATAAAGTGAATATTCAGATGTTAATAATAAATCTAAATGTGATACCGTTTTTATGGCTAGAATCATTAATGCTTATTAGATATGATGTAAACTATATGATCACATGATAATTTGCACAATTTGATGGGCTACCACAATTTAATGCTATGTATTTGATTATTCGGCCACCCAAATGCCAAGTGAATACCAAGGTTAAAGCTAAACTTTGGGGCATCTTTAGTAAATATACAGATACTGGGAGTGTGTACCTCTAAGTTTTCTTCACTGCTAGGGTGTTATATCAAAAAATTGATGACACTGAAGTAGAACACGATAGTCTGGCTAAGCCTAAATAGATTAAATATTCTGTCAATATCACAAATTTTCTAAATCCATATACATGTATCTACATAAGTTTGGTTTAGATCAATCAACTATAGGCTAAACTTTATTAGAATACAAGTTTGTAATTTGAAACAAAAAGAAATGACCACTATGACACAAATATACTACACTGGCTACTTTTAAAATTCTATAGTAATTTCAACAGTAATTTCTTTGTGAAGAAGCCATGTTTCTTCATTGTTTTAATTATTATTTTATTGCTGTTTCTGCTGGCTAGCAAAAACAAGGAATGTGAGTCCTTTTTACTGTGTTCCATTGTCCAACCAGCAGATTCTTGAGTGCCAAGAGGTAGGTGCATCAACAATAGAGGCAATAGCAGCTTCTCAATTCCTGGTTCCTTATCACTAGGTCACAATTGTCAGTAACTTCTCCAGCCTTCCAGATGTCAAGAAGCATTGGCAGGGTGGCAGCATACTGATTACAGTTTCTTGAATTCATAGTTCCATGATGGATTCAAAAGAAATAGCTAGACCGGGCACAGTGGCTCACGCCTGTAACCCTTCTTAGCACTTCAGGAAGCCATGGCAGGAGGATCATTTGAGGCCAGGCATTCGAGACCAGCCTGGGCAACATAACAAGATCCCATCTCTCTCTATATATTTTTAAATCAAAAGAGATAGCTTATCTGATGGTTGGTTCTGTATAGTTCACAGATTCATTTCCAGAGGCCAAACCTAGAACTGACTCCTTCAGCTCCTCAATTATTTTGTAAGCATTTAATTCACTATACTAAATTACTTCTTGCTTAAAATATGTACACCAGTTCCATTTTCCTGACCAATACATTTGAAAACAGCTTATAGTTTTCTCAAAAGATTTTAACCTATTTTTAAAAGATTTTTTCAACATTTGAAGACTTCAGCATATCTAATATTTAATAAATACAACTTAGGAAAGAAAAGGAGGATGCCCAAGTATCACCAAATTATGAGAATCCATCCAACCACTATGTATCAAAAGCATAACTCTCTTTGTGAACTAAAATTGTTAATATGAATCAACTTTACAGAACAAGGTTGAAATGCAGAGTGCACCTTTCTCCCAGAAAAAAAAAAAGTAGGTAATACTGCGAGGTAATAGGATAAGAGAGAATTCCACACTATCCGCACAACTATTTACAAGTGGTGGTATTATGCAAATAAGAAAACAAAAAATGATTAAATCTAAGTTTGAAGACAGGAGATAAAACTTTGGACCCATAGAAGGTGAGTAACTAGAATGTGACTGCTCGGGAACCTGGAAGGACTATCTTCTCAGTAAAATGGTGAGCTAAAAAAAAAAAAAAAAAATCCAACCATAAAAAATTTTTTAAATGAACTGAGAGAGGGGGGAATTGTCTCCTGAGAATCCATTACTGCAGTCTTGTCGACAGTTGAGATTTAATTTGCAAGATAAGAAATTAGCAAAATAGTCCAAGTGCCAGCAGAAGCAAGCTCAATTATTTCCTGGAGTGGCACATCCTCATCCAGACTTTATAGGAGTTCCACAAATAAAGGCTAGCCAACATGAACACACACTCCAAAATCACAGAGCACATGAGGAAAAATGCCAGCATGTGTGAGTTGTCAGCAGAAATAATAAGACAAAGAATTAGAGTCTTCCACCAAATAATTCAAATATTTATATTACCTCATGCAGAATAAAAATGACTCTGTTGAAAATAGTAATTAAAATAAAACATGACAGCTCTAACACAGTATAAGAAAAAGTGCAAGCAGATTTTAAAAAGAATAGAATTTTCTATCATTCTATCATTCTAGGACTAATGCAAAACAATCTAGGTAGTTTAGGCAGAAAGTGATAAATTTAGTACAGCTAATTAGGTACTTAGGGCATTGTTGGAAAAGTGGGAAGGGCAGATTCTAGGCTCTCCTGGATGCCTCCAAGTATACTATGTAGGTGTCCTACCACGAGAGCTACTACCTTTAAGTCTACATTGGAACTACGAAATGCAAGACTATATATCACAGCTAGAATTCAAATAGCAATACATCATTACTTTTCACAAATACTGGACATCCACCAGCTGATGACCCAAAGGACTAATTCTATATCAATGATGTGATGCTAATGGAACTTGGTAAGGAGAAATGGGTGAAAACTAATTGAGAAACATTTGTAACAACATGGATGGAACTGGCAGTTGTTAAGTGAAATTAGTCAGGCACAGAAAAACAAACTTTGCATGTTCTCACTTATTTGTGGGAGCTCTGCTGCCAGGCTGGAGTACAGTGGCGCAATCTCAGCTTGCTGCAACTTCCGCCTCCCAGGTTCACGCAATGCTCCTGCCTCAGTCTCCCAAGTAGCTAGGATTACAGGTACCAACCACCATTCTTCGCTAATTTTGTATTTTTAGTAGAGACAGGGTTTCACTATGTTGGACAGGCTGGTCTCAAACCCCTGACCCCGTGATCCACCTGCTTCGGCCTCTCAAAGTGCTGGGATTACAGGTATGAGCCACCCCCAGCCTCAAATCTCTTAACAATAGTGGATATTTTTTCTCCTTGCAGTTTTATCAGCTTTTGCTTTATGTATTTTGAGGATGCATTAACATTTAGGACTATTGCATTCTCCTGATGGATTGACCCCTTTAGCATTGTGAAATTATCTTCTGATAAATTCCTTTGCTCTGGTGTTGGGAAAACTGGCTAGCCATGTGCAGAAAGCAGAAACTGGACCCCCTCCTGACACCTTACACTAAAAGTAACTCCAGATGGATTAAAGACTTAAAAATAAGACCTAACACCATAAAAACCCTAGAAGAAAACCTAGGCAAAACCATTCTGGACATAGATGTAAGCAAGGACTTCATGACCAAAACACCGAAAGCATTGGCAACAAAAGCCAAAATAGACAAATGGGATCTAATTAAACTCCACAGCTTCTGCACAGCAAAAGAAACAGTCATTAGAGTGAATCGGCAACCAACAGAATGGGAAAAAATTTTTGCAATCTACCCATCTGACAAAGGGCTAATATCCAGAATCTACAAAGAACTAAAACAGATTTACAAGAAATAAACAAGCCCATTCAAAAGTGGGCAAAGGATATGAACAGACACTTTACAAAGGAAGACATACATGAGACTAACATATGAAAAAATGCTCCTCATCACCGGTCATTAGAGAAATGCAAATCAAAACTACATTGAGATACTATCTCACGCCAGTTAGAATGACGATCATTAAAAAATCTGGAGACAACAGATGCTGGAGAGGATATGGAGAAATAGGAACACTTTTACACATTGTGTAAGACAGTGTGGCGATTCCTCAAGAACCTAGAAATAGAAATTCCATTTGACCCAGCAATCCCATTACTGGGTATATATCCAAAGGATTATAAATTGTTCCACTATAAAGACACATGCACATGAATGTTCATTGTAGCACTGTTTACAATAGCAAAGACCTGGAACCAATCCAAATGCCTATCGATGATAGACTGGACAGGAAAAATGTGGCACATATGCACCATGGAATACTATGCAGCCATGAAAAACGATGAGTTCGTGTCCTTTGTAGGGACATGGACGAACCTGGAAACCATCATTCTCAGCAAACTGATGTAAGAACAGAAAATCAAACACTGCATGTTCTCACTCATAGGTGGGTGTTGAACAGTGAGAACACATGGACACAGGGAGGGAAGCATCACACACTGGCGTCTGTTGGGGGGAAATAGGGAAGGGACGGTGGGGGGTGGGGAGTTGGGGAGAGATAGCATGGGGAGAAATGCCAGATATAGGTGACGGGGAGGAAGGCAGCAAATCACACTGCCATGTGTGTACCTATGCAACAATCTTGCATGTTCTTCACATGTACCCAAAAACCTAAAATGCAATTAAAAAAAAATCCTTTGCTCTAACAAGCAGTTTTCCTGTTGAAAGCTATTACAGAGCTTTCAACTGTTAAGACTAGTGTCTTTTATTCAATCTGTTACTTTTAACATATTTGCCTTTATATTTAAAATTTTTTTAATACATATTTGATTGCGTTTTAGGTTTTGGGGTACATGTGAAAAACATGTAAGATTGTTGCATAGGTACATACATGGCAATATGGTTTGCTGCCTTTAGAAATATAGTACAGGTGCTGGAGCAGCTGCTGCCAAGTCTGGATCCCACTGCTGTGCGCCCCTGATGCCCGCCTGACGTGCATTCCTGGTTCCTTTTGGTTCCAAGTCCAACATGGCAACTCTCAAGGATCAGCTGGTTCATAATCCTCTAAAGGAAGAACAGACCCCCCAGAATAAGATTACAGTTGTTGGGGTTGGTGCTGTTGGCATGGCCTGTGCCATCAGTATCTTAATGAAGGACTTGGCAGATGAACTTGCTCTTGTTGATGTCAATGAAGACAAACTGAAGGGAGAGATGATGGATCTCCAACATGGCAGCCTTTTCCTTAGAACACCAAAGATTGTCTCTGGCAAAGACTACGATGTAACTGCAAACTCCAAGCTGGTCAATATTATGGCTGGGGCATGTCAGCAAGAGGGAGAAAGCCGTCTTAATTTGGTCCAGCGTAACGTGAACATCTTTAAATTCATCATTCCTAATGTTGTAAAATACAGCCTGAACTGCAAATTGCTTATTGCTTCAAATCCAGTGGATATCTTGACCTATGTGGCTTGGAAGATAAGTGGCTTTCCCAAAAACCGTGTTATTGGAAGTGGTTGCAATCTAGATTTAGCCCTATTCTGTTACCTGATGGGGGAAAGGCTGGGAGTTCACCCATTAAGCTGTCGTGGGTGGGTCCTTGGGGAACATGGAGATTCCAGTGTGCCTGTATGGAGTGGAGTGAATGTTGCTGGTGTCTCCCTGAAGACTCTGCACCCAGATTTAGGAACTGATACAGACAAGGAACAGTGGAAAGAGGTTCACAAGCAGATGGTTGAGAGTGCTTACGAGGTGATCAAACTCAAAGGCTACACATCCTGGGCCATTGGACTCTCTGTGGCAGATTTGGCAGAGACTATAATGAAGAATCTTAGGCGGGTGCACCCAATTTCCACCATGATTAAGGGTCTCTATGGAATAAAGGATGACGTCCATCTTCCTTAGTGTTCCTTGCATTTTGGGACAGAATGGAATCTCAGACGTTGTGAAGGTGACTCTGACTCCTGAGGAAGAGGCCCCTTTGAAGAAGAGTATGGATACACTTTGGGCGATCCAAAAAGAGCTGCAATTTTAAAGTCTTCTGATGTTATACTATTTCACTGTCTAGGCTACAACAGGATTTTTGCTGGAGGTTGTGCATGTTGTCCTCTTTATCTGATCGGCGATTAAAGCAGTCATATTTTAAGACGGACTAGGACAAACATCAATTCCTCAACTTAGAAATAGGAACGGTTTGTAAAATCCTACAGCTATATCCTGATGCTGGATGGTGGTAACCTTGTGTAGTCCTAGACTGGTTAGTGTGAAATAGTTCTGTCACCTCTGAGGCACCACTGCCAATGCTGCACATGCTGCAGTTGCCCCTTGAGCCAGAGAGATGTTCCTTTGTTATATAACTTCCTGGCTCCTTCACTGAACATGCCTAGTCCAACATTTTTTCCCCGTCAGTCACATCCTGGCATTCAGTGTATAGATCCAATATCGCATGTCTTGTTCTAAAGGATCTTATTTTGTAAACTATATATATAAGTAGTGTACATTACCATACAATGTAAAAATATCTATATATAAACAATGCAACCAACTATCCAAGCATTACACCAAGTAAAACCCCCAATAAACCTTATACAGTGAGAAAAAAAAAATAGTCCAAAATAAAATGGCAAAAATAAATCCAAATAAATTTGTACTTTGGCACTACATACTTTTCTAAAAAGTTCTCCCAGTACGAAACACTAGATCTTGGAGAAAACAGACCTCTTAATTCATTGTTGGTTTGGACTATATAAAGGAAATCTCCAGGCCCACACTCAAGACAGAAACTCCCCCTACACTATACCAAGACAGAAACAGAAAAAATTAAAACCCTCTACCCTTAAGACAGGAACAGAAAAACAAAACAAAACAAAAAACTTGAGCTGAAACAAACGCAAGAAAGCAGCAGAAAGCATCATGCAAGAAGCAAGCTTGAAAGATAGGGTTTATCCCTGAGGGCAGATAACAGCATTTGCCTGTTAGTTTGCAATTGACCTGCAGACACAAAACCTTAGGCTAGTAGTAAGGGTCAAGGAGCTTAAACTTAAGACAAGGCATTCAATCAGGATCCTCAAAGGTGAAGGGAGTATGCCAGGGAGTTTGTAACACCTCATCCAAAGATCCCAAGAAGCAACAAACTCAAATCATACTGAAGGAAAACATACACAATTTATGCCCTCTGTCTTCTCGCAGATTAACACATACTCAAGGAAATAAGTCACAATAATTTGCAATAATAACCTTAAATTTAGACTTGTAAAGACTTAAAATACTGAAATTATCAAAAATATAAAATATTTGATTTTTTAAAATTAGAAATAGACTTACAAGGGACTGTAATGAGTAAACAGGAAGTTAAAAAGAATCAAATGAAAAATATATTTATTGAAATTAAAACCATCATTCTTGTTTTAAATAGCAGGTGAGATGCTGCTGAAAAATGAATTAGTGAACAGAAAGATAGAGCTGATGAAATTACCTGAAATGCAATAAAGAGAAACAAGATGAGAAATATGAGAAATTAAGAGACATGAAAAATACAGTTAAGATTAGTCTATCATTTGTATATAGTCCTAGAATGGAGAAGAAATATTTGAAGAGCTAACAGAGAATTTTACAGAATATGAATTAAAAAATACAGGAAGAAGCCAGTATATATCAAGAATAAAAAGAAATTCACACTTTCAAATATTACAGTAAATCTGCAGAACATCAAAAAAAAAAAAAAGGGAGATCATCTTAAAAACAGAGAAAAAACAACACCTAAAAAGTTGATTCTGAGGCCCAAAGATATTGAGACTAACGTAAAGCCACAAAATAAGTAGCATAACTGTGACATAGCCCCTATATTCTCAATCCATAAAATATATTTTTAACTATGTTACCTTCTCTTTTTAAACTAGCCAAAACCATTTACTTTCTCTTCTTAACCAGTTTTTCTTAAGACCCTTCTAGCTGTCCAAGTTCCTGAAATCATTACAAGGAGTATAAAATGTTTCAATAATTTATTTATAAAAAGTCATATATTCTTTTCATAAGTTTAATTACCTTGCTGGAATACTCCATGTAAAAAATACTATGTTCCTTGATTCAGAGCACTACATATTTGCATGGTGAACAATTTCTGATGTTCTTGCTCCAAGTTATTGTTCTTGATAACCTCAAACTACCCATTTAAAATCCTTTGTGTTAGCATATTTTCAAATTCCAAGGAATCCAAAACCAAGGTAAAATTTCAGACCTGGGGCTGGGCAGGGTGGTTCACAACTCTAATCCCAGCACTTTGGGAGGCTGAGGAAGAGGATCACCTGAGGTCAGGAGTTTGAGACCAGCCTGACCAACATGGTGTAACCTCATCTCTACTAAAAATATCAAGATTTGCTGGGCATGATAGCACATGCCTGTAATCCCAGCTACTCAGAAGGGTGAGGCAGGAGAATTGCTTGAACCTGGGAGGTGCAGGTTGCAGAGAGCTGTGATCACGCCACTGCACTGCAGCCTGGGCGAGAGTGAGACTCTGTCTCCAAAAAAAAGAGAAAAGAAAAGCAAATTTCAGACCTGGAATAAAGTATTTTTAAGCTACTCTTTGGTTCATATTTGTGTACTTTATTTTTAAAGTCTCTTCTTTAGATTATATGCGCAAAAACTATAAACATGAGACCAGGATACTCCATATTAGTGCTGAAGGATACTTTAGTATATTCTATAAATATCCTCCATGTCTTGCAAATTATATAATTATATTCGCAATCTTATATCCAATTTTTAGTTTGGCAGGCAAAAGAGGAAGACAATAATAATGGGAGAAAGAGGACATCCACCAACAGGCAATACCAATAACATCCACCAATAACTATGGGAGAAAAAGGACATCCACCAAAGGACTTCTTCCATTTAACCAGTATTCTATAGGCCCATTACCTTGCATTTCTGGTGCCCATCTTTCCCTTAATTTAGTTGCACGGAGAGTTCCTTATACCACTGTTCTCTACAACATACACACTTCTCTCACTTCAACTCCTCACCCTGGCCCTAGCCAAACCATTCATTCATTCAACATTTATTGAATGGCCTTTGTGTGCTGGGTTATTCTGGTAGATTCTAGGTGTATAAAGAAGCATTAATTGAATATAAATTACTTTGGTACTTTAAAAGTCAACATACTAAATGTAATGAAGTACTTTAGTCGAAACTACCTATATTTTTAATAGATTAGTTGGCAGTAGGATTTCCTATTTGTTTATATCCTAATAGGCTGAATTTGAGATATTCCACATTGCTCAGGAAGAAAAAAAATGTGTTCTTTACCATAGCATTGCAATGGTTTATTTTTATATGCAAGCGTATACATCTCCCCACAAATTCATGAAAAATATTCTGTTGACCATGATATTCTTTTTATTGAAAAGCAACATAAAAAGGCTTTAGACATAGAAGATAGTATTTTACATTATTTTTTGTTATAAATATTTTTATGCCTTGTGCCAGAATTTACTTCCTGTAACTATTCCTGCTTTATCTGGAACAGTTTACTCCATTATTGAATATCTATTAGTGTTTAATATAGAAGAGCTTAATAAACCACTAATCCAAAAATAATGGTATTCCCTTGCTTTTCAGACCTTTTTGCTGAATATTCTTATTTATGTCCAATGTGGAAATCTGATCCTGTTCTCTTCCACTCTGCCAGCAGTTCCTTTTGTACCACTTCTGGTAGTTCATAGAAAACTTGAGGATCAATGTCAGAAGGGAAAGTAATTTTCTCATCTATAGAATCTTGCTCTCTATTTTCTGTAAGTCCTTCAGGAGAGTCTGTTGCTACTGTTTGCTTATGGCTATCTGTAGCATAGTTTTTGGAGAAAAGCTGCTCACTCCGCAAATTTGGAAATGAATGACAAACAGACACAGCAGGATTTGAATTTGTAAAATGGAATCCTTGAGGTTCTTTAGGTCCTTGACTCATTTGTTCATCTTTTAATCTATTATCTAAATAATATGAATAATCCTTTTGGCTAGACAGATAAGAGAAACTACTTCTACTTAAGCCTGATGTTCCCGGTTCACAAGGAGATACAGAGGACACCTGTTTGCTACTGGATGAATGATTTTTAGGGTTTATGGGAGTATTTTGCATCTGTTTTTTAGAAAAGAAAGACAATACTCCTTTAGAGGCATGTAATGGACAACTCACACTTTCTTTCCCTTGAAATTTTTCTCTAGATTTTCCAGAAAGGATTTCTTCTTGAATATCTACTGGAAGCTGCTTAAAGACTTCTTGATCAACACCTTCAGGAAGTGAACAGAGTGAGAATTCATTAATGTCTTTTTCTTCAGAAAAACGTTTAGTATCTAGTAGAGACTCCCTAGTTCTTGTACTTTCAACTCTTCCACATGGTAGGAAATCCTGGTTTGTTTCTTTGTCTTTGGGAAAATCTTCCATATGAGTGTCTTTCATTTTCTAGAACACAAGAATAACAGACTAATTTAGATATCCCTGCGCTGCTGTGTGCCTATAGCTATTACCTGACATGATTCTAACCTACTCAATAAATTCAATTATTTGTGGCCACTTCAAAACAACTAGAGATCTACTACCACAATTAGTCACACTATTGTGTGAATCTTTACTTACTATTCCAGGAAGAGGTTTCCTTCCTAGATAGCACTTAAACAAAGGTAAATATGCATTTGGAGACCTGGGAATATTTTAACAATCATGTACACAAACTTTCAATTCCATATATAAAAGAACAGCGCCTAGAAAAGCAGTTCACATAAGGGTATTTTTCAAAAAGCACACATACAGCATCAAGGGCTCATTTTCCAAAAATTAATATTCTAAAGGGTAACCTTTAAAAAAAAAGAAAAGAAAAAAAAAACCTATAACAAAAACCCAATATCATCAAGCTATAGTGCTAATTTATATTTATATAAAATAAAAATTTAAAGATACAGTCAACTATAACTTGCATAATTTTTCTATGTAGTTTTTCATCTAAATGTCTCCTCTAGGTTTAATCATCTTAAAAATATAAACATAGTAAAATATAACTCAGTAAACATAATACAATATTAATTCCGAAAAAGTAAAAGGAGTAGAAAAGATTCGGGCTATTATATTTATTGAATACCTATTGTGTGACAAATACATACAAGGTACTTTCACTGATATTTACTTCTCTAATGCCAGTGTAAATGAGCACTTTTAATTCCAATTCACAGATTAATTAAAATGTAAAAAGAAACACCTTTGTAAATGTAATAAATGAAATAAAAAGGGTCACAGAAAAAAAGTAATTTGAAGAGAGAATTAATTCACTATTTCCATACACTGTCCTGTTCTCATTTTGAACTTAAATGGAAATAAAAAGGTTACAAAATTATACTGACTA